CTGCAGGCCACCCTCCACCCCTCAGCCCAGGGACCCCTTCAGGCCACCCTCCAGGGAGGGCACAGTAGGGCATTCCGCCAGGTAAGGGGAAAGCAGGCCCTGGATGAGCCCACGGGCCAATGACAGGAGTCCCAGAAGACAGAAGAGACCACAAATGAGAAGGCAGATCACACGGAGATCAAAACGTTCCCAGCCAAATCCAGGGCCTGGCTGCTTATTCCGGAAGTCCAGTTGTTGCAGGAGCGGCCGCGGGAAACAGAGCTCTCGGACGACGAGTATTGGAGGAAGGAGTTTATTCGGCCGGGAGCCAAGTGGCATATTTGCCTAATATCCAAGCTCGCCTAACAAAGGAAGTTTCCTTCTTTACATAGGCCTATACTTTAGATGTTACACGTGGAAGAATCTTAGGTTTATAGCTTAACATATGAAAAGGGTCTCTGTTTACAGTATTAGGAATTACATCTGAAAAGGGTTTCAGTTTGCAGTCTTAGGAATGAAAAGGGGAAGTTGATCTGAGATGCCTGGGTCTCCTCTTCATCCCCCCCTTTGTGACCCTCACCACTTTACAATATTAGTGAGAGGTCTCACTTTCATTCTCACTTTCCAGATTTTCTGAAGAAACCAACTGATAATGTTTCATATAATACACTTGTGATGTCACTTTTTGGCTAACTACAGTGGTGATGAATCCCCTCATCTGAAGGAACAGGGGCAGTAGACAAGGGAGCAGTCAACAAACACCTATTATTATTAGAACACTTAGGATGAGGGTTTTGAATCCTGCCAAGAATGAGAACCAACCTCCAAATAAGGACTCAGGGTTAAACCCGTGCCACACCTGTACAGGCACGTGTGCCAGTCTGGTCGTGTCTCACACAGTATCCTCCACTGCCTGCCCCTGGTCATCCATGTGCAGACAGCAGTTGGTTAGACCAAATTTTCCCAACTCCTCCTTCGGCTGCCAGCAAACGATCTAGGGCCAGGCGGTTCTGATAAATCGCGTTTCTCATTTGAGTTTCTTGTTGGGCCAAGAGGTACAGAGCTTTGCCCGTTTCATTAGTATTTCCAAAAGAGTCTGCAACCGGATGATCTGGTTGAGCCTGTAAATAGGGGTCCGGTATCCCCATGAGCCATCCTCAGCCCATGTGGCCAGCCCATAGTACTCAATAATTCTCTCCGGTGGCCACTCATCATCTGTCCAATTCCCTAGTTTCAGGTCTCTCTTCTCCCTAGCGGAGTAAACTGAATGCCCTAACAGCTCACCTATCTTAACAGATAATAGGAAGGAAGAGGGCTTAATGATGCCTATGATGTAGGGGAATATCCTGTTTTTCCTAAAGGAGGAACAACAGCTACCTGTCCATCTCACGGATTACACACCTTATATTGAGTACCATTATATAAACAGGTTCCCCTCTGTGTGCCCGTACATTTATAAGACCTGCAAGACAAAAGAGTAACTTTTATGCCCTACCTGGTATACATACTGGGGCATTCTTCAAAATTAGTTAATGTTCCTGCTGTGCAACTCCAAGTATTAAGAAGAGCAAGTCCCACGATGAATCTCCTCATGCTTCGGCCGTGCGTGGACCAGCCAGCTTCCGGGATGTGGCTGGAGCAAGGCCTGTTGTCCTTTTTAAGGTGATTCTGCAGTCCTTGCCTTGGTCCAAGTCTCAGCTGTTGCTGGTTTTTACACGGCTGTGGATTCAGGCTGGGAATCCCTCTACCTTCACAGCTGTAGGATTGGTCAGGACCAGGTCTGAGGTCCTTTCCATTGTGGCTTTAGAGGGGCTGTACTCCCGTCCTTTATCCACACGTGATCACCTAGTGAGAAAGGGTGAGCTGGGAGAAAAGGGCTTCCAAGACATTTGTTATTTACTCAGGTTGAAGTATCCTAAGCGACTCTCCCTAGGGCTGGTAACTAGCATCCTAACTCAATCTCCCCCCACTCCCGAGGAGTTCCCAGGAGTGCCCAGAGTAGGGGAGGGGGCCTATGGTATAAGACTTTGTAGGGGAATATCCTGTTTTTCCTAAAGGAGGTGCCTGTAATTTTGAATAACCCCAAGGGAAGTGCCTGCACCCACTCTAATCTTATTTCCTGAACACTTTCCCTAAGCTGTTTTTGATGGTCTGGTTCATTTTTTTCCCACTTTTCCGGAACTCTGAGGTCGGTGGGCAGTGTGCAGTTTCCAGGTGATACGCGGCCGTTGCTATTTTCGGGACTAAATCTGCCACAAATGCTGGTCCACTGTCTGCCCCGATGTGCAGTGGCAGTCCAGACCGGATAAGATCTCCAAGCAGCACTCAGGTTACTTCATGGGCTCTTTCAGTCCCACCCAGAGTATGTGCACACCAGGACCAACAAATGCTTATGTCCCCCACTCTTGGGCATTTCAGTAACGTCTCCCTGGAGATCTTCAAGCGGACCGGCTCCATAAGCTTGAATTCCAGGGGGAATAGCTGGACCCTGCCTCGCGTTGTGTTGCCGACATGTAATGCATCGCTGTGCCACAGTTTTGGTCAAGGCTGCGAAGTGTGAGATGTAAAAGTACCGGCCCAGCATCTTTTCAAGCGACTCTTGACCTGAATGAGTGGCCTCATGTACGGCTTGTACAGCTGTGGCCCCCAGCAGCCATGGTGCTGTTATTCTTCCAACTGGCCGTTGGATCCATCCTTCTTTAATCTGTTGCCCCCTTCTGTCTGGAGAAAGTCTCTTTCCTCCTTAGAGTAAGTAGGTATTAGATCAGGGATCTGGGGAATCAGCGGGGCTGTAACTGCTATTTGGTAGGGGGCAGATGCTGCCCCGCTCTGTGGGCACAGCCTGGTTAAACAGCTCTGCTCCAGACCCTGCCTCTGTCTCAGGGTGGCTGAGGAGCGGCCTTTGCCAGATGACGTGGGGGCCTGCAGGCCCCGTTTCCCTGTGAGCCTGGGTGCTTAGGGGCGGCCCTGTCAGACTCCACCAGTCTTGGGGGATGGGAAAAGGGAGATGGCCGCCTGGTTCTGGTTGGGGTGGGGCTTCTGAGAGGTGGGGATGTTGTCCCTTCCCACCCAGCTGCCCCTGCCCCAGGATTCTTGGCTAACAGCAGGAGGGATGTGTGCCATGGCGGAGCTGCCTGCATGCCACACACCACTTCTGGCCCACGGGGGCCATGCAGGAGATTCGGGAGGAGCTGGGGCCCACCCCTCCCACTTCCCTCTCTCCCATGTCCTCCCTGGCCCCCTCCCAGCTCCCCCCAGTAAATCCCCTCAAGCTCCCGGGACCTGGAGGGATGACAGGTTTCTCATCTCAGCCTGGAAACCACGTGAACTCCTGCTGTCCCTCAGCCTGTCTCCCACCGCAGCCCCCGAGGTTTCAGAAGCGGCTGGGGACGCCCTTCACAGGGGATGGAGGGACAGTGCAGAGGGAAGGTGTTCAGGGCCCAGGGAGCCCCCGGAGCCTGCCTCCCTCAGAGTGCACCAGGACCCACGGCCTCTCTGAGATTCTGGCCTGGGCAGCAGTCATGTGAGCATCAGTTACCAAGGCTGCCTTGGAAATGGCAGCCTGGGTCGGGCCAGCAAGAATGGGGCTGGCAGGAGTCCTGCAGGGGTGGTTGTGCTGGGGAGGGGTCACCTGGGCCCTGAGAGGCACAGGACATTGGGGCGGGGTGTTGGCCTGCCAGGAGCGTGGCTGCAGAGCTGGGGCCCAGCGAGGCATGTCCTGCGCTTCGAGGGCTGTGCTGTGCCAAGGGAGGCCCTGCGCTCGGAGCCCCCCTGCCCGGTGGCGCCTCTGGAGCTACAGACCCTGTGTCTCCGGGAGGCCGACTCTGGCCCCACAGCCGGGCCTATCTCAGCATGGCCCTTGTTGGAGAGCGAGCCCTGGGTCCTAGGCACCTGTGCTGGCTCTGGTGTCTTGTGGCTCCTGGGTGCCCATCTACACCCATGCCTCTGCTCTGGGCTTTAGTGGAGCCGTGCCACGTGGGAGGCTCCAGGGTCCTGACGTCGCCCTGGGGCGTTGCCAGCTCCCTGGCCTGCCGCCTGCACAGTGGGTCCTTGTCTCTGCTCTGGACCAGGCGAGGCGGCCACCCATGATGAGCTCTGCAGCCTTCCGGAGGTGGCTGGTGAGTCCCCGCGCTGTGCGTTCCCCGCGCCCGGACCCTCTACCTTGGTGCTCGGGGCCAGGACCCGCACCTCAGGCATCCACTCCGCTGGCCGCCCCTCTGTCTGGGGGTGCTGGATGAGTCTCCTTGCCAGGCCCTGGGTGGTTCCTCACCTCTCAAACGCGGGGCGGGCTGCATGGATCCCGAGGGGCCCTACAGCAAGGGTCCCACACGTGTCCCCCAATGGAGCAGTTTCTTGGCCCACAGGATGGGTGTGACACTGAGGGTTCCTGGGGGCAGATTCAGGGCATGGCACGGAGACAGACCGGTTGTGAGGGGCCCAATGCAGGGGGCTGGCCAGGGACGCTGCACCAGGTGGTCGGAGTCCTTGCCCTGGCCAGGGCACAGGACGCTCACAGTACAGGCTGAGGGTCAGAGCCGCCTGAGACTCCCTGCTGAGATTCTGTGCAAAGAGCCTCGTGCTTTGGGTGCCTGTGAAGCCCCTCACCGAGGTGGTCCTACTCTGCATCTGAGCGGTCCCACAACAAGAAGTGCGAAGTGCTCACCCCAGAGGGTGTGTGCAGAGGGCCTGGGCTGACCTCAGGGCTCTGGGGGTGCCCCACAGGACTGGCTGCCAGGGGTGGGGTGTCAGTGATGGCCCCCTGTCGAGCCAGAGCGACCCCCTACAACCTGTCTAGGGGTCCAGGGGCCAGAAGGCCAGGTTCTCCTGGAGGTCCCATCTTCCTTGGGCCTCAGTTTCCCCTTCTGTGACTCCATACCCCCGAGGAGGGCCCTGTCAGGGAGGGCAGGGGGCACTGGTTAATGTCAGGACACAGCTGTCCCAATCAAGCCAAACCCCTGGAATGCGCCGAGCTGGCCACACTGAGCAGGCTGGCCTCTGAGACGGAGGGACTGCCGAGAACACAGAGGCTCTGTGGAACCCAGGCCGTGGCCGTGGCAAGGATACCCCAAGCCACATATGTGTGGCAGCCCTATCCCCTCTGTGGGCCTCAGTTTCCCCTCCGTGCAATGACGGGAGTGACCAGCTGTTATTGGAGGCTCCTTCCCTCCCTCTCTGTCCCCAGGGTGGGCCAGGCCTCAGGTCTGCAGGGGTGCTGCAGCTGCTCCTGTGGTCCAGGCCTCGGGGAGTGAGCCAAGTGCTGAGAGAATGTCTTGCTTGTGCCTGCTCAGCCCAGAGGGACACGTGGCATCCGCACCTGCTTCCCACTTGGCCACAATTGTCCTTTGAGAGCAGAGCCAGGGGCTTCTTGGGGACAGGAAGCTGCTCTCAGAAGCCACAAGACTGGTGCGGGGCTGAGCGGCAGGAAGAGGCCGGCTGGCTGCCCTCGCCCAGAGCCTTTGTGAACGGCGGCCTGGGGCAGAGGTAGCTGGAGGTGGCGGTGTCTCTTTGGGCCTCAGGCGTTGGGGCAAGGCCCGCCCGGGTTTTACCTGAGTGTTCGCCTTTATCCCGGTCTCCACCTGGTGCCGCTGGACTCGTGAGTGTGCCTAGGTCCCGGTCGTAGCAGGCCATGTCCCGCCTCCCTCCTTCCCTTCCCCTCCCATCCAATGCCCCGTGTGCCCCGCCTGGGTGGCTGGCCGTGGCTCTGACCGCTCCATGTCCTGCATGGTGGGCACGGGCGCTCCCACCTGTCCACAACTTTGCCGCTGCCCCGCACCTGGCTGTGCGTGCTTACGCCCCGCTCAGCCTGCCTTTGTGTGAGTCAGACCGAGAGGCCCCTGGGAAGGTCCTGCCTGCAGCAAGTAGACCCCATGTGTGCCCCTAACCCAGGCCCTGCCCTTGTGGGCGCTGCTTGGGAGCAAACACTCAGAACAGCTGCCCGAGCCCCACTCAGCTTGGGGCTTCTGATTCCCAAAGGTGCTTCTCAGGTGCTCCTCGGGTCAGGGCTCTGCAGGCGGGGAGCACTAGGGGTGGGGTGAGGGCACTGTGGGGCCAGCTGCCTGTGGATGGGGTCTGGTCACCCAGCGCCTGTCCCCTGCAGGATCCCTGGCTCTGGGCCACCCGATGAGGTTTAGGAAGTGGCAGGTCCCCTGTCCCCAGAGAGCCCCGTGGCTCCCAAAGCTTCCTGTGGGCACACCTCTGTAACTGTTTGCAGTGGCCTCTATTATGGGGACACGGAGCTCCTCCTTGTTAGAGGTTTTGTGTCCGGATTAACCACATGCCCTCCTGCTGGGTGAATTCTGGATGACCCTGTATTCTGGGCATATGGCTCACAGGGTCCCCGGGGCTCTCCGGCCAGCCTCCCCTATACCTTGGCCCCAACCATCCTGGCCAAAGGTCAGCTCCCAGAGCCGTGTTGAGAGGGGAAGGGGCTGATTCCACAGATATTTGGGGTGCAGTGGCTGTGAGAAGTGTGGGGGAGGGAATGCCCCAGATTTGGGGTGAGGGAGTCAGAAACAGGGCTGACCCCACTGTGGGTGCAGGAAGAGGCCGAGGTGTGGGAAGAGGCTGTGGCTGTCTGTACCTCCAGAGCCCCGTCCCCAATCCAGATGGGGGGCAAATGTGGGGCTCCCTGGGCCCGTCTTGCTGACCTGTGGCCCTGCTGTGGCCCGCAGAGCATGGAGTCCCCTCGTACCCCTGCGAGGACAGTGCTCTTTGAGCGGGAGAGGACGGGTCTGACCTACCGCGTGCCCTCGCTGCTCCCCGTGCCCCCCGGTCCCACCTTGCTGGCCTTTGTGGAGCAGCGGCTGAGCCCCGATGATGCCCACGCCCACCGCCTGGTGCTGAGGAGGGGCACACTGGCCCGGGGCTCTGTGCAGGTGAGTGGCTGGGTTGGCTGGGGCTGCATTCCCTGGGGGGCAGGGTCTGTTTGGGCGGCAGGCAGGTGGGTGGCCAAGGTGGAGATGAGCAAACCAGGCTCAGCTCTCCCAAGGTGCCCTGCAGGGGCTGCACCCAGGTCCCTGGACATCCTGGCCAGTGGCACTTCCTCCTCTGGGCAGTGGGGTGCCCTGCACATGCTGGGGACGGCTGCCCTGGCGGAGCACCGGTCCATGAACCCCTGCCCCGTGCACGACGCTGGAACGGGCACCGTCTTCCTCTTCTTCATTGCGGTGCTGGGTCACACACCCGAGGCTGTGCAGATCGCCACGGGCAGGAACGCCGCGCGCCTCTGCTGTGTGACCAGCCATGACGCAGGCCTCACGTGGGGCAGCGCCCGGGACCTCACCGAGGAGGCCATCGGCAGTGCCGTGCAGGGTAGGTGAGCAGGGCAGGTGGTCAGGGCAGGTGGGCACGGTAGGTGGGTAGGGTAGGTGGGCAGGGTAGGTGGCACGGTAGGTGGGCAGGGCGGGTAGGCAGGGCACCGGTCTGGGTCCCTTTGATTGGCCACGGTCCACACAGGAGATTCCAGCTGGAAATTTCCATTCTGCCCACCCCTGCCCCTGCCTCCAGCCACAAGGGGACCAACCATCCCTCTCCCCAGGACTGTCCTGTGCCCCCTGTCCCAGGTAAATGGGCATTGGTCATCCCCCCAGCACCCGGTGGGCAGGAGCAGGCATGGCTGACGCAGGACTGTCATCCCCCCGGGTCATGCCTTTATCTGCAGAGGAGAGGGCTGGACGCTAAGGTGTCTCTTAGCCCCCAAACCAACAGCCGCCTCCCCTTACCCTTTCCTCTTCCCCTTCACTCCCTTCTCACTCTGCCTGGAGCCTGGCCAGGCCTTGCCCACAGCTTTCCCTCCACCCTGTCCTCTGTGGCTACCTGACCCTGGCATGTGGGAGCCACACCAGGGAGTGGAACAGACACATGGCTGACCCAGGGACTCTGCCGCAGGGCCTCATGCCCACTGCTGCCCTCTGCTCTCTGTGTGAGCACCGCTTGCCAGGCTCCCTGGGTGCTGTCCACCTGGTCTTGGGGCTGGCCGCCTGAGGAGCCAGGACGCATGCATTCCTGGGCACCTGCTAAGGGCTGTGAGAGGCTTGTCCAGCTTGGGAGGACTCAGGGCGGCTGGGATGAGTTGTGTGGAGGGCGGTTGGCAAGTGGCCGTACTGACCCGAGGCACCAGCCCCTCCTTCCCCTTCCTCCGGTGCCTCCCTCCATCCCCCACCTCGGGTAACCAGCAGCCCCTCCCACCCCCACTTTTCTCCTCAGATTGGGCCACATTTGCAGTGGGCCCTGGCCACGGTGTGCAGCTGCCCTCAGGCCGCCTGCTGGTGCCCGCCTATACCTACCGCGTGGACCGTCGAGAGTGTTTTGGCAAGATCTGCCGGACCAGCCCCCACTCCTTCGCCTTCTACAGCGATGACCACGGCCGCACCTGGCGCTGCGGGGGCCTCGTGCCCAACCTGCGCTCAGGCGAGTGTCAGCTGGCGGCGGTGGACGGGGGGCAGGCCGGCAGCTTCCTCTACTGCAACGCCCGGAGCCCCCTGGGCAGCCGCGTGCAGGCGCTCAGCACCGACCAGGGCACCTCCTTCCTGCCCGCAGAGCACGTGGCCACCCTGCCTGAGACCGCCTGGGGCTGCCAGGGCAGCATCGTGGGCTTCCTAGCCCCCACCCCCAGCAGGCCACAGGATGACGGATGGTCATTGGGCCCCGGGAGCGCCCCCCACCCTCCACGCCTCCATCCTGGAGTCCGTGAACCCCCCGAAGAGGCTGCTGGAGACCCCCGTGGAGGCCAGGTGCCTGGAGGGCTCTTCAGCCATCCGCAGCCTCAGGGTGACGGCCCCAGGCCTGGGGTCATTGGAGATGTGGGGTCCTGGACCCTGGTGCCCCCACTGCCCTCTGCCACCGCACCCCAGAGCACCACGTGGCTGCTGTACTCCCACCCCGTGGGCCGCAGGGCTCGGCTGCACATGGGCATCCGCCTGAGCCGGTCCCCACTGGACCCGAACAGCTGGACGGGGCCCTGGGTGGTCTATGAGGGCCCCAGCGGCTACTCCGACCTGGCGTCCATCGGGCCGGCTCCTGGCGGGGACCTGGTCTTTGCCTGCTTGTTTGAGAGCGGGACCAGGACCTCCTATGAGGAGATTTCCTTCTGCACATTCTCCCTACATGATGTCCTAGAGAACGTGCCTGCTGGCCCCCAGCCGCCCACCCTTGGGGACAAGCCTCGGGGGCGCTGCTGGCCCTCCTGACAGGCCTCCTGGCTGTGCCCATGCCCCTTGGGTGCCTGGGGAGGAGGGGTGGAATATGCTGGGGTGCCCCAGGATGGATGTGGGGGGTCCCGGGGAGGAAGGATGGAATACTGGGAGGAGGGGTGGAATATTCGGGGGTGCCCCAGGATGGTTGTTGGGGGCCTTAGTGGAGGACCCTGTGGATGAGGAACAAGTTGTTCCTTAGAGCTCTCAGGCAGGGGCTGCTCTTTAGGAAGGGGAACAGGGGCTGGGGGTGAGCAGGGCAGGGTGGGGGCAGGAGCTGGGCCCTGGGCGACACCCACAGCTCCCTTCAAGGCTGCCAGGGCTGGGGTGTAAGCTCAGGTGTCCCAGGGTGTGGCTGTTGGTCCAAAGCACTTGCTTTCTGGTTGCCTTCTGGCCAGAAATAAACAGATCGTGCTTGTGTCTGGGTAGACGTTTCTTTCCATTCCTTGTCAAGTTCAAGCCCTGGGGAGGGTAGCTCTGCTCTAGCCCACCTCTCTAACCCCCACTACAAAATCTCGCTGCCTTAGCAAAATTCTGCTCCTAACTGTCCCGGAGCCGGCAGAGGGAGGGCAAGGGGGGGAAGCGGCGTCCACCGTCAGCCTCCTGTGCCTGTGGTTTGTCTGTGGTCTGCCGGGCTCTCTGAACTTCCTGCTGGAGGAGCAGGAGGCAGGGCCTCTCCCAGCAGAGCTGGACACCAGGAGGGGTCATCTTCCAGGGTCAGCCTAGTGTCCCGCTCCCCTGAACCCACCCTGGAGGGGCTTGGGTTCCACTGGGGCTGTTTCCCCAGGGAAGTTCCTTTTCATTCTTCTCCTTTTAAACTCTTCATTTCTGGTGATAAAAGCAACATATGTTCACTGTAGAAAATCTGGAAAATAAGCCTGGCGCCATGGCTCATGCCTGTAATTTCAGCACTTTGGGAGGCCAAGGCTGGTGGATCACCTGAGGTCAGGAGTTCGAAACCAGCCTGGCCAACATGGTGGAACCTGGTCTCTACTAAAAATACAAAAATTAACTGGGCATGGTGGTGGGCACCTGTCATCCCAGCTACTTGGGAGGCTGAGGCAGGAGAATCACTTGAACCTGGGAAGCGGAGGTTGCAGTGAGCCGAGGTCACATGCTGGGTGGATTCTGTCATGCATGTGTCCTGTGGGAATCTGGGGTGTGTGTGGATTACGTGCTGGGTGCATTCCATCATGTGTGTGTCCTATGGGAGTATGGGGTGCATGTGGATCATGTGCTGGGTGCATTCTGTCATGTGTGTGTCCTATGGGAGTCTGGGGTGCTTGTGGATCACGTGCTGGGCGCATTCTGTCATACGTGTGTCCTATGGGAGTCTAGGGTACGTGTGGATCATGTGCTGGGTGCATTCTGTCATGTGTGTGTCCTATGGGAGTCTGGGGTGCGTGTGGATCATGTGCTGGGTGCATTCTGTCATGTGTGTGTCCTATGGGAGTCTAGGGTGCGTGTGGATCATGTGCTGGGTGCATTCTGTCATGTGTGTGTCCTATGGGAATCTGGGGTGCGTGTGGATCATGTGCTGGGTGCATTCTGTCATGTGTGTGTCTTATGGGAGTATGGGGCACATGTGGATCACGTGCGGGGTGCATTCTCTCATGCGTGTGTCCTATGGGAATGTGGGGTGTGTGTGTGGATCACGTGCTGGGTGCATTCTGTCATGTGTGTGCCCTATGGGAATCTGGAGCATGTGTGTGGATCACGTGCTGGGTGCATTCTGTCATGTGTGTGTCCTAGGAAAATCTGGGCATATGTGGATCAGGTGCGGGGTGCATTCTCTCATGCGTGTGTCCTATGGGAATGTGGGGTGTGTGTGTGGATCACGTGCTGGGTGCATTCTGTCATGTGTGTGTCCTAGGAAAATCTGGGGCATATGTGGATCACGTGCGGGGTGCATTCTCTCATGTGTGTGTCCCATGGGAATGTGGGGTGTGTGTGTGGATCACGTGCTGGGTGCATTCTGTCATGTGTGTGTCCTATGGGAATCTGGGGTGTGTGTAGATCACGTGCTGGGTACATTCTGTCATGAGTGTATCCTATGGGAGTCTGGGGTGTGTGTGGATCACGTGCTGGGTGCATTCTGTCATGCGTGTGAATCTGGGGCATATGTGGATCACGTGCTGGGTGCATTCTGTCATGTGTGTGTCCTATGGGAATCTGGGGTGTGTGTGGATCACGTGCTGGGTGCATTCTGTCATGCGTGTGTCCTTTGGGAATGTGGGCCGTGTGTGTGGATCATGTGCTGGGTGCATTCTGTCATGTGTGTGTCCTATGGGAATGTGGGGCATGTGTGTGGATCACATGCTGGGGTGCATTCTGTCATGTGTGTGTCCTATGGGAATCTGGGGCATGTGTGTGGATCACGTGCTGGGTGCATTCTGTCATATGTGTGTCCTGGCTCATGGCTAGCAGGGTTATCACAGTCTACTCTTCTGCCTTCAGATTTGAACTAAAGCAACCACAGGCCTCTCTGGGGTTCCGGAGTCCGTGGAGCCCACAGCGGCTCTGCACGAGCCATTCTTCATCGTTCCCCTCTACACTGGGGTGAGCGGCATCCCCACATTCATGTCTGCCTGGAAGCTCAGACTGTTACCTTATTTGGAAATGGGGCCTTTGCGGACTTGATGGAGCTATGAGGAAGTCACAGTGGGTGCCGCGGGTGTAACGCAGTGGCCACTGTCCTTGTGAGCCACAGACACAGGGCGACTCGGTATCAAGGCGGAGGCAGAAGCTGCAGTGATGCTGCCACCAGTCACGGAGGCCAGGGGCCACCTGGAGCTGGAAGAGGCCGGGAGGCCCTGGTGCTGGAGCCTTTAGAGAGGGTGTGGCCCTGTCCCCCTTGGCGTCAGACTTGGCTTCCAGAGCCTCGAGAGGACTTGCTTTGTCGCTTCAGCTGAAGGTCAGGGAGATTTGTTGCAGCAACCCAGGAAGCAGCACACCTTCCCGCCTTTGCCGTCCGTCCCTCCTCCGTCCACAGGACCCCGGGGGGTCCTGGCCGTTACTGCCTGGCCATGTGCAACCTGTGTCAGACTGACTCAGGCTCGAGGCCCGGCTTCCCAGAGCTCCGGTCACCGTGGCAGAGCCTCTCAGTGACCCGGCCTGCCTGTGGCTGGAGAACTGTATGAGCCTGGGGTTGGGTCAGGTCTGAAGAAGGGGCTGGAGCTGGCCCTGTCTCGGGTCCCACCCAGCAGCCGTGACCTCCTCAGGTTGGGCCCAGGGCTCTGAGGTCTTGGCTCCTCCAGGTGTGAGCAGCTGCTCAGGACCTGGGAGGCTCTGCCAGGTGTGATCCTTGGACTGGGAGAGGGTATGTGGGGAGGCTGCCTGGTCCAGGCCAGTTTGAACCCTTCCTCCTGCCCTCCGGCCGCAACTGCGGCAGGACCTGCTGGGGCTCAGGACCTCTGGTGTCTGTGGGTGGGGGTTGCTGTGCCTGGGGACAGTCCTTCCCCGCTGCTGCATGAGTCCCTCTGGCATCCTGGGTAGCCTATGCCTCTGGAGAGACCAGACCCAAGCATCCCCCAACCACGGGCAGCTCCTGGGCATCTGACCGGCTCCGGCAGCCCCTTCCCCACCTCCGCGCTCCCGCCAGCTGCTCTCTCAGCCCCTTTTACTTCCTTCCATCCGTGTCCCCCGCTTCCCTCCGACCCCTGCAAATCCGATATTGAATTGTCATTCCTGGCTGTGGAGGTGAGGCCTGTGGGAGGTGACCAGATCACCGGGGCGGATTCTCATGAAGGGTTTATCCCTGCCCCTCGGTGCTGCCCTCACAACGCAGTTTCCCGAGACCTGGTTGTTTAAAGTGTGTGGGACCTCCCTGCCTTGTTCACGCTCTCTCCGTGTGACCTGTGACTCGCCTGCTCCCTCTTCTCTTCCACCAGGATTGTAAGTTTCCTGGGGCTGTAGGGTCCAGCCCTACAGGGTTCTGTGAGCCACTCCCAGCTGGTGAGGAGAAATTGTAGAAATAAAAGACACAAGACACAGAAATAGAGAAAAGAGAGTTTGGGCCCCGGGGTCCACTGCTGCCCAGATCTCCGAGACCAGCAGTGGCCCCGAGTGCCGGGACACTCTCACTTTTATTGAGCTGCAAATCCGGGGGCAGGGTAGGCAGGGCGTGGCCTCGGTGGTCGGAGACTGGGGGCAGGTGGATGGGGCGTGGCAGTGGTAGGGTCAAGTACATCACGTGTCGTTCAGGCGGGGGCTCAGGAATTTCTGGCATCTGAAGTGAGGCAAGGAGCATAATGCATCAGCACCTTTTCCATCTTACCGAGAAAGAACTAAAACATTGAGATTTATATTTCTATAACTGATTTTCTCTTCTAAGAAAAAAGGAACCAGGTGCAGAAGCAGAACATGAGAGTGGACGTGGAACGTGACCACTAAGGCACAGCCCCACATAGGGACAGTTAAGCCCCAGATGTCTGTGGTGTCCTGACGGCCGTCAGGCCGACCACAAGATCTTGGAGGAGCGGAGTTTTCTCCTAACCTCCCCAGGAAGGAGATGTCTCGGTCATCTTGGATGTCTGCTCCCCTAGCTGGCTAAACAGCGGGTGCTTTCCACAACCAAGGCGCCCCGCAGCAGCCCTTATGTGGGGGTGACAGAGGGCTCAGAGCATCTTGCCTCAGGGTCATTCATTTCACAATGTCACCCCAGGTTCACACTTACGGCTGAGAGGCATTAGTAAAAGAATTAAGATCACCTATGAATAACTAAGGTCACATACGAATAGCTAATAACTAGTAAGGTTTTATTTCTGGTTACTTTCTTCATTATTTATGTGGAAATAGGCCGAGGCTTTTTGCTCCTGCCTCAGGGTTTGTGGGATCTCCCCCTACGTGTGCCTCCCCAGAAGCAGAGCCAATGCACGCTTCCTGTCAAGCCTGCAGAACCGGGAGCCGATTAAACTTCTTTAAGAATCTCCCAGCTGCAGGTGTTCCTTCACGGCAGGGTGTGGGGGCGAACGCACACCCTGAGCCTTTGGGGTGATGCCTGCTGCTGTCCCCAGGCTGGGCCAGGCCATGGCTCAGGAACGGGGCTGGGAACATGGTACCAGGGCAGGGGCAGGGCTCTGTCGTG